TGTATATATAAATTTTCCGCCATATTAAAAGTACTGAAATCTGCTAGGCGTTCTGAAGCACCTTGAGCGGTGACGTCACACCTAGGTCCCAGTCTCGTACTACATCCACTTTTTTCTCGCGCTTGCTTCAGAACGACTGGGACTAGGCTGATAGCGGGGTAATGTGACAATATCTGGGCGCTTCAAAAATCAGTGGAAACAGCTTGGAAATAAGACAATTTGGTAACCCATATAATAGAGCGTTACAATAGTCCAGGCGAACGCATGCCCAAACGCATGCACTAGAGTTTCCGTAGTTTCTCGACTCAAGTATTTCCTGATTGGAGATTATCTAAAGTGCGAGTTGCGAGTTACGCGTATATTGTTAATTTCTATATAATAACATCGGGTTTAATTTTAACCCAGAGTTAACACTAACCTAGCTTTGAAGCACCGAACCAGGTGTTTACACCTGTGGTTTACACTAAAAATTCAAATTGAAACTGTATGGCATCCTGGCGGATGTGATTTTAGCTTTGTCTAAATTTGGCGCCAATTTTCAGCTTTTGAAATAAACATTCATTGCATTTATTTTTATACTTACAAACTTGTAAATAGCAATCGTTTTGATATACTGATGGTTGTTTTCCCGTGTTTAGATAAAGTTTATGTATGTATATGTATGTCTATGTATAAATTGTATAAAATAAATTGTACTTCCGATGAAAAAGACTTGAGTTTTATAGGGTTCCCAGCGTTCAGTATATATAAACAAACTGAGTCGGTGTCTGGTCATACTTACTAATAAAATTAAATAACCATTTTAAGATTAGAAAGCACAAAATGGTCTGGATAACTACTAGATTTAATTAAACACAGAAACGGCAAATATAAACTTGCACTTTTATTTTCAATATAATTATTTTAATTCTTGAACATACGTATCGATGGATCTAACAAAGTAAACAAACATATAAAGGCCGATTTTCATCTCGTCCGTATCGTAGCATTTTCTTTTGTGTCGAAGTCATTATTTCCACTCTAGTGGTCAGGAAACAAAGAAATACGCTTCGCTACGATACGGTTGAAGTGGAAAACCGCTTAAAGTGCACTGAAAACGTGTTGAAATTAACCAATTTAGTTACAGGGACCTTAACTTCGAAGGTCATTAATATTTATGAAACAAAAAACCCTTCGATGAAAACTCTTCGCCTTCCATGTCGTCCATATTAATATGCTTTCAAAGCCTAATTCAAAGCGAGGCTAGCGACTCGCAACTCGCAACTCGCAGCTCGCAACTCGCAGCTCGCAAAATAGCCGACCCCTCCTAATTGTGCTTAATATATTGTAAAGGTAAAAAAACCCGGCTTTGTAGATTTTTGTAACATAGGTACTCATGGGTAAATTTCTATCAAACCATGCACCAAGGTTCATTATTGGCTCATTGCTTGCAGAAACAACAGCATCCCCAAGAACTAAACTGTCAATTTGTACCTTCTCCAACTGAGGTCGGGTGCCAATAAGGATGAACTCAGTCTTATCATCATTGAGTTTCAACTTGTCTTTAATCATTCAGTTCCGTAAATCCTTAATACACATTTCCATCGCCGCAACGGCCAAGTCCTGAGAAGCAGAGTCATCCGGGCAAAACGCCAGGTACAGTTCCGTATCATCGCGTAACCATGGACTGTTGGCAAATGATTACTAACGATTTCAAATAGCTGACTCGCATAGATGGAAAACAACAATGGCCCAAGGCAAGAAGAACCTTGCGGTACACCAATGTTTATGTCAAACTTATCAGACTTCACAGACTTCAATTATCACCTGTTGAAATCTCCCCAACAAATACTCACGAATCCAAATACTCACCAAAACCAAACTTGGTCTCGAGACGCTGAAGCAATATCGTATGTTCAAATCTGAACAAACCAATAGCGACACCTGCTGTTTAGTAAGATGTCATTTCGAACACGAAGTAACGCTGTTTCAGTACTATGAAACCGCCGATAAGCAGACTGCAACTCAGGAAAAAGCCCATGTGCCATTATATGAGAGGTCATTTGTTCAGCGACTACCTTTAACAGGTCGAAAGTTTTTCTTCATGAGTTTCAAACCTGGTTTCTTCATACTGGGTTTGACTAGCGCCTCTTTCCATACACCAGGGAAGCGTCCTTGTTCAAGAGAAGTATTGATTATAGTTTATATATATATATACGACAATGACCAAAACTTG